TCGAAAAGAGCTAGAAAAAAATGAGCGATTAATGCATGAGCAACAAATACTGAAGATGTACATTCTCCTTCTTCCAGAAAATTCATTTTTGCCTGGAAATTCTACATAAAAATTTAATGTTTAACAAGCTAAACTATAGGTCTTAATGCAATTATTTTTGTTGCAAACAATAAATAGCAACTTTATATGGCAATTTCCTAGTCCACAAAATTTCAAACAATAAGGAAGTGAATGCATGATCCGCATGTAACTCAGAAAAAAAGGATTGCTTAAGCGCATACGTATCAGCAAGATGTACAACGTGATTGGATGATTGATTGATTGAAGAGTTTGGTGGAGCAGACGTAATACTGTGCATATGAGATCCAGATCTAATAATACCTCTAAAAAAAGTGTATGTTTTACTTTCTTCAAAAATTAATTTTGAAAATCACATACTTCACTGATATCTTGATATTGCACTGAAAACCGAAATGGTTCACTGGATAATAAGTTTGTAAAATAAAATTTTAATCCTAAAAGGTTGAAATTTAATGCTTTTAGAGTTAACTCATGCAATAACCTCGCAATCATACAGGACTGATATTAATTAAACATGGAGAGTAAATGCAACATCTGCAGGAGAGAACGAGTACAAATGGATTGAAGACAAATATTTCGTACTATAGTTTACACCTGAAAGAAAACATTTTAGAGAAATCCATTATTGTTGATCCAACTAATATTTATACTTCTAGATGTAGAATTTTGAAAACAATTGGTGCTCTGATCTGCACATATTCTGTTTGCTTAATGCTTACTGAATCCTGGATAACTAGCTGAGTGAATTCAAATAAATGAGTCGAAGATGCTTTGGATCAGTATTGGATGTGAAAATTAACCAAGAGAAATAACAAGATATAAGCAAAAGCATGTTGCATCATCAAACAAATACATAACCAAAGTTTGTTTGTCAAGGATACATGGATACAAATCAAGGATACAAACAAACAAGCATAAGCAATGCTGAAAGAGAATTAACACTTCTATGAAAAATGAAGGACCAAGTAAAAAAACAAACAATTGCAGAACCCCATAAACTACCAAACTCGAGTACAATATCAAAATTATATTTTAAACATATCTGATGAATGAAGCTATATCAGATATTAATTTCTACTGTCTTTACATCTGGTACTTTATACTGCAGTCTACTCCTAAATGAGCATTTATTCCCTATCCTGCAAAACTATAGAATGCCAATTTAACAAATAGTTTTAATAAAAGAAAGGGAAAAGTTTTCCTTCCATCAAATCACTTAAATTTAACATCACCCTCTCACTATTTCAATTACATCACTAGGAGTACATTTGCAACTCCGTGCAATAGCCTATCTTCATTTAGAATAATAGTTGAATTATCATTAAATTATGCTAACCATAAACTGGTTTAAAAGCACATATAAATGATAGCTAGTACGAGCAGAAACGTAATTTCGTTTGCATGACTTCACGATGACTTTTGCCAACAAATACTGCGCATGGAAAGCAGATGTAAACTTAAATTTGTTCAACTTTCAATCTCTAATTGAATACCGATCAGTTCGGAAAGAAGTCGCACAGCTTGTTCTGCCGAAATCTGAAAAATATAATGATAGTTAGCTACCCGTTATGACGATGATTTCTTTCAAATAGCAGGAAGAAATAGATGTATACAACCACTATAAGTTATCTTGGACTTATCTCCATCTCTTTTTACTTTTTGTATCATTTAAACTGTTAAATGTATCCAAAAATATCAGACAAAAACTGCAGGTGGACAGATTTGTATAAATGCAAAGTCAAATGAATTCAACATTAAAAAATGACATTAAAAAACCAACTTTTCCTGGGCTGGTTTGAGTAGAGACATCACAACATTCTGAATGCCCCATATCAGTACCAATATCACGTGCTAGATTCCAGGATGCATCATATGTGTCGGTAGATTTTTCTTGAAGAGGCAGGAGAGCCTGAATAAGTAAACTCGGAACCAAACAAGATAAAATGATTCCTAATAATCTTGAGAATAAACTTATAATGATAAATCGGGATTTAAACAACTGAAACCGAAATGACGCTAGAACTGTAATCTATAAGATCTAGTAAACTAGGAAAATTAAAATCGAGAAATTGATTTCTTAATAAAATCAAAAAACCTACCGCATTCTGCATTGTATGCATATTCCAGCCTGCATCGCTATCATCTGGTGAGTTACTTGCAGTCGATGGTATCTCATCGACAGGTTCACTGGGAGGCTGTGAGAAAGCTTGATGCGGTGCAAATGACGGTACTGGAGGCGCAACCACCAGTGGATTCTGATGATAAGTAATAAAACCAGGTGCTGGCGGAAAACCAGGGACAGGGCTAGACGCTACAGGAGCTGCAGCTTGGGATACCATAAGATAAGGGCCGTTGGATACTGGAACACGACCGGGAGTCAGGATCAACTGGGACATTTGCATCTGCATATTCATATTGATCAACTGATCGAATGAACTGACCAGAAGCAAAAAAGGACTCTGGAAATCAACTTTGACAACTTTTTAAAAAAGAGACGACTCCAATTCAAAGCGCTACTATCTACAAAGACGCTTAGTTCGATTTTGGTACCTCAGAATTTCTTTCCCAAAATGCAAGCCTTTGCAAAATAAAGAGTAATTGCAACGTTATTAAATAACGAAGTGCTTTCCTCCATCAATTTAAAAAAGTAAAAAAAATTTTAAATATTGACAACACTTCCGAAATCATTACCTGTCCGTTACTGTAACGTGTCCATTCGGCAAGCGTATGAAAGCGATCATCGTTCTTCGTACGAATAAGCATCGAATCTGTGAAATAACCCGTTTTGCACCATTTCTGCATTTCCACGGATGAATACGGACCTACGATTTAGTAAAAAATATAGCTTTTAATAAATCAAAAGAAATTTTCCTTAATTTGTTCAAAATTACATGAAAAATTTCAAATGTTCATTGAAAAATCCCTTACCATAAACGCGACGATCTTCTCCTTGATAAAACCATTTCGGGCTGTTCAAACCATCACGATTCGGATCCATCCTTAGAAACAAAAATATCGGAAAGTTTGATTACCTCAATTTCCGAATATTTTCAACAAAAATTTTTACGTGTTTATCCATAAACAAGTAAACAATAAGATCAACTTTTAAGAGTATTTAAAACCCACAAAGCTAATCGGTTTACCGATTGAGTGAATAGCAATTTCCAATAAGGTTGAGTAACTCAGTTATAAGATTATTCATTGATGTCCCCCAAACCTAAACGATCAACCTTTTCACATTAGTTTCTCTTTATTCCTTTCAGAATATCTTTTTGAGCACTTTAAATACTAAAAATTTTGAAACTAGACCGCTCAACTAATAAGCTAGAAATTTATTTGCGAAATGAGTCATACTAATTTTTCTCTCCGTCTTTCTTAATTCATAAGAGTTTCAGATTTGTTTTGCAATAAAAACCAAACAAAAAGAAAATTGATATCATTAGATGTTTATTGCATTTAAGTTAGTTGAACTACTCATTAAATCTAATTCAGCATGAGGAACATTATTCGATTAGAAGATATTGCCTATTCCTACTTTATCAATGTGAATTTTTTATAATATTATACAAAATGAACATTACTGAAAGAGCCAATCATGGCTGAAACTAAATAAATGTTACATAAAAAACCAATGATAATAAACGCAAAATTTAATAAATTTTAACTAGAAAGAATACTCCTCCAAACAGAATGTACTGCGAAGACGAGATTTAGCAAAAATTTACTGTTAAAATTGGATAATTTTCCTCACGATTTAAACATTGTTTCTCCCTGCAACAAAGATTAGTAACTAAACGAAAAAATTGATCCTCACCATTTGATTGAAGAATAGCAAAAATTTGAAAAATACAAAGAATCTTATAGATAGACGAGTGAATAGATTGGTGGGAGAATAGAGATGTTGATGTATTTCGGATACATTGATCGAATGAGGATAAGCAAAAGGGCGAATAAATGGATGTATGAGGAGACATAACATATTTCTCGGTGTGAAATAAACATACCACCATGTATGCTTGTTCTTCAATTGACACTTTTTAATTACGACATAAATCAAGTAAAATATGCAAATTTTCAACTGTCAGCCTTATCATGATAATTTTATAAACGTGAAAAAAGGATGGGAAAGAAACATTATGATGAAGGGAAAAAAAGAAAGAAAGCAGTTTTTTTGATACGCTTGTTGATAAACGTTCAAAACACAGAATGCAAGCACAACAATTAGAACTAAAGTAATCATTCAAAAGACCATCTCTTCCCGTTAAACTTACTTCAGTCCTTTTCTATCCGCCTCATTCTTCCTCCTCAAACTATAAGTTCGTTCAGAAAATGACCATAGCTTTTCACTTTGGTTATTCCTTCCTAAAAATAAATTACCCGAACTAATATTATTTAATATTATTCCCGACTTCTTTCTCCTAATTATTAGAGTCCAAATAGTGATCTACAACGAAGATTCATATGAACAAACTCTCCTATCATTATATGCAAAATTAATGTGAGAAGTAACAATTGAAATGTAAAATATCAGTGCATGACTGCCGAACCGAATGAAATCATGTATGTTGGCAATAACTGCAAAACGCAAAGATTTTAGACATTTACCTTGTTACAAGCGTCACAGTAACCTATCACAACAATTTAGCAATTCTTGTATTAACTATGAAGACATAGAGTTTTGCAAGTAATTTTCAAAGATACCACTGCAAACAGAAGAAATAAACCTAGTCCACGAAAATGTTGGGACCGCGGAGTTAAATACCAGAGTATGACATCCTAATGAGGATGGGTGGCGCTGAATCACTATGAAACTCATAGTATCTTCCTATTGGGTGTACCAAACTGTCAGCAGTTTCTTGGAAAGAGTGAAATACTTGTGGTATTTCACACAGGAAATGCATTAGAGTCCAGCTGGGTTGTCATATTTCCCATGAATGTTCCCGTTGTGCTTCATTTACAAATTCGTGGGTTATCACTTCGTTTAATTCATTCTTTTGGCTATGGTCATGACATGTTTGAGGTCCACGACCCATTTGAGAACTATGACATATTTAAGCGCCATAACCTGATATGATCATAACCTGCTATGAGCTATTGATAGGCCATCAGCGACAGGAATCGCAAGCCAGAGGGGTAAACTTGCAGCAACTCCGGCAAATCCCGAATCATCTCCACAACACATTCATTCCCACAAAAATTCGTATAAAATCCGGCAACAAAATCACGCGCAGAGCGTTGCGCAAATAAGTACATCCTAGGTGGTAAGATTTCTTCTAGGGGTAGGATATGTAAATTCTAGAAACGATAATAAGCGATATAACTTCTAGTGCTGGGGATAGTTGAGGCAGATTTCCTTCTTCTTTGGCTATTTCATCAATAGAAGGGAGGTGACAGAATTTATCACTAGGTGTAATTTGAGGAACGAATGGTTGATGGAAATCCAGAAATGATTATTCATTCTGATTATTATCAATTTTTATGTTCTTTGCATTGTGTTTGAAGAAAATGCAAAGATTGATAATAATCGGAATGAAAATAGAATATATCACATTTGGAGGGTAAGGAAAGATTGATAAGAATGAGTATAATATACTTTTAATTGTTAGCATTTTGTTGTGATTATTAAATATATATTTTCCTATTGTCATGTTTGGGTTACATTAAAATGTAACATTATATTTCGTATCATTTTTATTTTGTAGATGGCCAACCTTGATATATCGGGTTCATCATCGACATCTGGAACACCTCGTCGTCATCCCGTAAATGGTCGTGAAGAACGTCCAATGTTTGCCTTTTTTCTGCTTTATTTAATAAATTTTTTTCCGGATATCAAGATATCCTCATTTGTAAAAAAGAGTTCAGTACTTTTTTTGCTGCCTTGTATTGGCACATGGTAAAAGTATTCAACAAACAAAATTTGATTAACGAAATGATCTTTTATCAACTGTAGCATATCATGTAACGTATTTCACATGACATCGCACATTTTATTTGCAGAAAAACCGATTTCCTTTGTCGTGTTAAATACAGCAATGCACTGCCAGATATACCTTTTGATACGAAATTTTTAGCATGTCCGTTTGTTTCCTTAAGCAGGTTAGTTAAATATGGAAGTTAGTGTACATAAACTTAATGCATTAATCTGAACCGCAGTGGACTAATTTCAACCACTCATTTGAATTACTTTTTCTTATAATTTTGCTTCTAATATACCTCATTCGTTTTTTGTTAACTTTTAACTCTTTTTGCTTCAATACTTTACCTTTTTTTCTGTTTCATTTGTTAATAAGATTGTTTTGTTATTTTATATAAGTAACAAATTTAATAGAGGGGAAGTATCTTTATTGTTGAGAGATTACAATGATCTCCTCCTCTCTACTTTCCTGTTTAAAACATTTTTCTTTTCAGGTTCACTGATTACAAATCATCTAGTTTGGAAAAAAATTTCAAATTCGAATTATTGTGTGAACCAGACTGTGGCGTTAATATCGATCTTATCAATCCAGAAACATATTACGTTGATGCGGATAGTTCGAAAAAGGTATGTTTTTTTTTTTCTGTTACAAGTAACGATTGGTTTTTAGTGTAATTGAAAATAGAGTGGAAATGGGGCATGTTCGGATATTATTGAGTTGAACAAGATAAATATTGTATTATACAAGAATGTAATTCATTAATTACATTCATTCTAATCGTAAGATTACCTGCTAAAAACGTAATTTAAAGCTTGAAATTCTAGTTTAAAAAATTATGGTTGAAAGAATAAAATTGAAATTTTTGGATTAATTTTGGAATTCTGTTGATAGATTTCCGTTATAGCATCATCCCATTGATCTCGAACTTCTCGAAGATGAGCAAGCAAATCCTCAGAATTTACGCAGGTTTGTGTATTTTCATTGTATTATATAACTTGATGTTTAGTTTTACTTGTGTATGATAAAAATTTTTTGAAGATCCTTGCAACATAGCAAAATGGTACCATGGATGAGGAAAACGGAATATATTAGTTCGGAATTTACGAGGTTTGGTGTATCGGCGGAAAGGCAAGAAACTAGGGTTAGTTTGTTTTTTTATTACATTTTAATCGCTAGCTTTCATTGTTCATTAATAGTTTTAATTTATTTGGCACCTTTCATATCATATCTTCGATTTCTCTTGGTTTGCAAAATTTCGGTTGAGAAAGATTTTCGTCAAAAATCGTTTTCGAAAAAACGGAGTCATAAGTCAGTGGTGTAATGTTCATCTTTCAAAAATAATCCGCAAAAAATAAGCGCATTAAATATGTTGAACAAACTTTCAGATTGGTTATAGCACAAAGAAGAAATTCCAGACGGATGTATTATATAGAGATCGAGTATCACAAATTGCAGCAATTAAAAAGACGTTTGATGATGTAAGTGTATTTCCCGATGCACAACGTAGTGTACAGTTGTTTTCGAAAAAGTTGCTTAAGCTTTAGTAATCATCCATTCTGTCCATTTAACAGTTCATGAGATGTTCCAATGGTTTAATTTTTTACAAATAAAGAAAAAGAGTCATGTAAATTACTTTTCAGGCATCGAAAGCAGTATCACATCATCCAACCAAGAAAGGTGTAATTGCTGTTGAAGAGTTACCATTGTTACCAGATTTCGATGTAGGTTTTGCTGTTATCCGTGCAAGCACAGTTTTTCAATAGTTTTAGTTTGGGTGACTTCTGCAGCAGTTCTGAACTTCTACCAGTATTTGCTATCTATGTGGGAATATGCGTTAGTAATGTAATAAGATTTATGTGATAAAGAATGTTGAGTTATGTGATAAAATGATAGGGAAATGCTTTCAGTTGGATGATAAAATGATAGGGAAGTGCTTTCAGTTCATATAGATAATCCCCACGTAGTAGCCTTTCCGTTAAGTGAATTAAAATGAAAAGTGATCATTAACAATTACTCAAAAATTTTCGTAAATTTCAAAGCTTTTGAGAACTGGATGCATCCCTTTGCGCTGGTTGTTTTTGATGGCGATCCGATACCACAAAATGATAAAGTCGATGCGCAAACGTTGATGCCGCAGGCACTAATACGGTACTATTTCAAGATTTTTTCTGGCTTGCATTACAGTTTACGCTAGTCCATATCTTAAATAGACTTTCATTTGGAAAAATTTCTTAATTAAATTTATATAGTCGTTAAATGAACTTTAGATATTTATGTGTCACATTTCTATCCAGTTACTAATTTCGGTTTCGCAGTAATTGCACATTTATGATACGTTTTTCTTCTATGAAATTCGGTCCCATATGAGATTGGAAAATTAATTGCTGAATGCCGAAACATTTTGCGTTGCACATTCCACAAGTTGCAAGCTAAAAGTCGTTCTCTCATGTTCTCTAGTAAAAGTCATGTGTTTGCGGAGTGACGATTAATGGCTGAAATAAACAGATAGTGATGATAATCGTTTCCAAAATGTAATCATGTCATTATCAGAAAGATCTTATAAATTAAATAATTTACGAGTAGTTTTGAAAAACAAATCATAATTATTTTTAGTGGTATGATGGACGAAGAAGGGGAACAGTTTGTTACATACTTCTTGCCCTCTAAAGAAACTTTGGATAAACGTTTGAAAGATACAGAAAAGGGTCTTGAATTCGATTCTGATTATGTGTAAGTTGAAATCTGCGCAGAAGCTATAATTAAAATGATAAGAACTTGTAATACAACGAAATACAAATCTGCTTGAAAATATTTTTTTTAAGGGCTCACCTTCGATGCTTTAAATCAAAATTCGCTAGTAATTCTGACTAATGATAATTCCTTAGTAAGATATATATTTTCTCTCTGAATAACATTTTCCAGATATGAATATCAATCAGTTCGGGATTACAACTGGTTGGTAAGAAATAAATCAACAAAAGGATATGAACAGGACAATTTCTTATTTACAATTCGTGATGGTGCCGTTTACTACAATGAACTGGAAACAAAGGTTTCCTTAAATCGTCGGAAAATCAAGCGGATACGGGTGAGATCTCGATTTGTATTTTGTGAAATAAATGGATATGCATGGGGAGAAAAAAATCCAAGGAGAAAATTTTTTTTTTATTTCTGGTAATGAGTGTGCATGACTTGGATTACCAGAAACGCTTGGTGTAAAACATTTGCTGATTTCAGTACTATGCATTGGCTTACGTTATAGTTATTAAACGAGACTTGCGTTATAGTTATTAAACTTTACAGTTATTGTTTTATTTGCTGTTGGTTGGGCAATTAGTGGTTCGGATTATTTGACGTTAACTAAGAAGCATACATCACCATTTCTTGCATATGTTTTTTATTATCCAATAATAATAGCTAGACCTTACGTAACTTGATGAAAGGTGAGGAAGTTAAAAATTAGAAAATGGAATGGACGATGAAGTTTTTGAAGCAGTCTGGGAATAATATTGAAGAAATTCAGCGAAAATTTATTGTTGTTTGTTGCCGTCGACTAGTTTTTTGATTTCAGCAAGAAACAAAATTGATGGTACGAAATCGTGCATATGACGAAAATGAATTGAATGCACAGGTGAGACAACTTAATATCTGTTTTTTAGATTGTTGGTTCCAAAAAAAATTATTAGATGAGATGTATTGTGAGCTTTGTCGACAGTGAATATGGGCATCACGAATTGTTCCCTGACATAAAAGAAGAGCCATTCATCGAACTTCAAGGCTGTATTTTATGCATGTAACGGACGTAGTGAATTAGAAAATAACGCAGAATTGAAGTACTTCACATGTACTAGAAATACTTTAAACAGCCACCGATGTTGACTAGTTTTTTAATGGTTTTCCGTTCATGTTCGACCATAACAATATTAATACACGGCATGATTTTCTTTGTTAGTAAAACTGGTGTTGAATTTTGTCTTCACTCAATTTCAGCAAGAACGATTAAACAACTTACTGCACCCATACGATGAAAAAGATGACGAAGGTAAACTTTAATCCACTTTCTTTTTTCCAATTATTTTTATATTACTATGTGCGGTAAGGTTCATTTCAATCGTCACGTCTACTTATGTGTTGATGTTGTTGGATATACGCATTTAGATTCATTTATGTTTGCAAATTAGCTGAAACTTCTTTTCATTCATATCACGCCTGTATTATTCCTGCCGTTATTAAGACACTTATATTCTAAATCGTTTTCTCAACTGTTCAATTACTCATCTCTTTAGGAAATATCTTTGATCATTTGGTAGTACGAAACAGTTAATTCTTTCAATTATTTTTTCTCATCTACATATGCGATTATACGCAAGCAAGTGTCCAATACACACATGCAATAGCACAAATACAAACACTCTATAATTACTTGTATATTTATCTATTACATTTTGCTTAGTATAATACCTGTTATATGACATGAAAACTAAGTGCATGGGTCAGGTAATGGTCAGGCTAGTTTGTTGTTTGCTAAGAAATGTTAGCCATGTTTTCGTTTGATTGCCTTTGCTGTCAAAGGATCGACGAAAACCGGAGAGAGGACCTTTGTAAACGTTTTGAATATTGGAACTTGAAAATATTTACACAAATGGGTGATTGTATACTGCTTGAACGGTGTTATTATAAATACAATAGTAGAACTTTCTAGAGATACTGAAGACGATTAAGTATTATGAAAAAAGAGCTAGTAAAGAATTTGCTTTCTGAATGACTAGTCCTAAAGGCATTGCGATGTTTTGACTAAGAAAGTAAGTGAACATCATGGAAGTGCTTGATGTACCAAAGTTGCAGGCCATTTCTAACTAGAAGTTTGATTTAGAACGTAGGTACATTGAGAACAAAAATTTAATAAATATTTTACCATCCAAATCAAATTGCTCTCAATTTCGATAGTTTTCTTTTTTTTAAATCATGGAATACTGGCATAGCATGCGACAATTTTTTATTCCTGAAATAAAATGAAACTGAAATATTGTCCAAAGTTTTGGAAAAGGGCACTTCTGAAATTGACATCGTATCTAAGACAGTTCTCTGCTTTTGCTCTTAAATTTCGAACTCATTTCTTTATTTGCATTATACCATCACAAACAATACGGTTTGTTTATTTGTTTTGCTAAGAAGATTTGATTTCTTTACTGCAGTCTGTTCACTCAATCATATCTAAAATCTTAATTGTCTCTACAAATCGGGCACAATAAAATATTATGAAATGAGATTTGCATGGTGCGAAATAATGCGAATAATTTCAATAAATTCACAATAAACAATGAAGAGAAATAGTTAAGATGAAAGAGATAGAAAGTATTTTACAATCATTTCAAAATCCAGCAAATGCTAAATTTCACATGTCTGAATAGACTTACTAGTTATAATAATTAAATGTTTGCAGTTTGCATTTGAATCAAGATGAAATAAAAGATTCCTATTTTGTTCCATTCTCATCTATTTTATTCTATTGTCACTCGAAGTAGTTCGGAAAGAAGAATTGTAATGGGAGAAGAGAGAATTTGTAATAGCATTTAAAATATGTGAGGGATAGATTAGATTTAACGAACTCCTGTTGTATTTATTCAGTAAACATAGTAGGGTCGTACACATGACATCTGCTAATTGTGCTTGAAGCTTGCTTTACCCAAGCATTTGTTATTCAGTTTGATATACTGAGAATTCCGGTTGAAAGTAAGATAGAAAAGTGGGGTAAAGGCGTTGAACAGAAAGATGAGCAAAAAATTAGATTGTCTTTTTCCTGCACATTGATGTGACAAAGATGTATTGATATTTGTTTATGCAGATTAGAAGTAAACATTTGTTAGTTACACATCAGATCATGATAAATTCATGAGGTATGGTGATAATAATTTTCAAGTGAAATTATGATTTTGTTGGGGTATTGTAACTGCTTGCTATAAGAGAATTATGGCGGCATTCTCTTGGACTTCTACACTTACTTATTTGATTGGAAACTACATGCTTACATTTAATTTATTTATAATTTAGATATTCTTATTCAATATTTTTAAAATTGAAATTGCAGATATGAAATACGTAGTTAAGACGTTTTGTGACCTTGTTTGTTGTACATCTTAATATATGGAAATTTGTTTTTAAGGATTTGAGCGAGGTTCAAGTGAAGGAAGCGAGCGAAGCCATGGGGAAGAAGCAGAAAAGAAAGATAATGATGAGAATGAATCAGATGATGAAATAACAGGAGGTCTTATCTTTTTTAACTTACTTGTCCCTAGGTTGATTTAAAAAGATTACCTGGAGTGATTTTGACTACTGCATCATTGATCTCTTTTGTGAGGCAACCGTGACATAGCAGTCTGGTATTAACTAATTATTATCTATATGAAATGTGTGCATTAAAAAATTGGTTCGAATGATTCGCAATTTTCATAAATTATGGTTGATTTTCAGGTTTAAAAGTTAATAATGCAAGTAGCAGTGAAGAGGAAAAAGAGGAAGATTCAGCATCAGAAGGTACGAGAAGTGATGATAATAATAATGGTGATGGTGACGATGATATGCATAATAGCAATATACTTGGAAGTGATGATAACGATAATAATGAAGATGATGAGACTTCCGGAAAAAGTGATTCTAGTAGTGGAGATGACGGTGAGGATGATAGTGATGGTGATGATAACGATAATAATGATGATTAGTCTTATTGTTAGTACGGGCTTCTGTTTAGCGCTGCATGAATTTCCATCTTTTATTGATTTTACTTGAATATTTGAAGATTGATAGTCAAGCTGATTAATTGAGAATTACGCCTTTTTTCTCTCTATCTTGTTTGAATGTAGCTCTTTTTTGTTTGAATTTGAATTATTATTGCAAAGTATTGGATATTTAGACTTTTAGTACGATTGTTGTTACAAAAAAACAATTTTTGATAACAATTTCTTACAAATATTCCATTTTCAATTTTAAAATCAACATGTGGTTTAAAACTTATTAAATTGAAACCTTGGGGATTATCAAAATTTATTTTATAAAGGTCTTAAGTGATTGTAGCAAATTCTTTGAATTTAAATCATTTGAGAGCTTTGCGTCATTTTTAAAGTCATTTTAGATTTGTGAAAATTTCGGAATTCCAGTTTTTGATTCGTTGAACTTTGTCAACAAAGATTTCAAAATTTTAAGTTGCTTGATGTTCAGTACTGACGAATTTAAGTAAATAATCTTAGTCTCAAAACTCTATATTCATTGATTCAAGCAGTTCTGCACTACGCAACAGTTTATGAAATGTTGAAGATCCCGGAGTAATTTATAGCTATGTTGGTAGAATCTTTCTCTCACCACTGAAAATTTTTATTGAAATTTTGAGGCCGATTTCAATTCTGTCATGTTATACCCTGCGGCTGAGTGGATTCTATGCTAACCATATAAGCCAGTATTAGTAAATCGAACCATAATCTAAAGTATAATTTATGAATATTGCTAATAGTACAATGATTTTTAACTATTCCTATCTATTTGCATATCAAATCGGTTCGAGAAATGATCTCTTTATAAAATTTTCCTCGTTTTTATTTAGAAGATGCAATAATTTATCAAATGTAGTTATCGTCCATCAGTGCAATTTTTTATATAAAATTAATGTAACCGGTTATAATTTACCGATTATTTGTAATTCAGTTTCTGATAAAATCAGTAAATTCTTTTTCGTTAATTTAGGTAACTGGAAAGAAAGGATTACCTTTTTGCAAATCACTAATTGTAAATAGATTAGAACCTATATTTGTACTTGATACTTTTGTCTTTATTCAAACCGAAATAAGTAATTACCTAAATTAATGGCTGTTGATTATTACCCGTATTTTTTGAAATACTTTTGTGGGTAATTATATATTTTGTCGCAACGGTAATGCTTCTAAAATATTCTCAAATTTGAGTAACGTTACTCAATAATTAACGAATATGGAGAGCTTTTGTTAGCTCATATGTAAATAACACGAAACAATTATTTTCATAACCAACAAAATCAATAATTATTTTGTAAATAATAAAAAATTTAATTATTAATACAATTGATAAACAAATAATAATATTAGATATCCTCGAAATGTGTCATTAATTGAATGAATTATTTATTATACAATAGATTTTATTGTTATAAATTGAATGATTGAAATTATACGAATTTAAATCCTAAAAAATTTAAATATTATAAAGGAAATAATTTAGGAATATTTTCCCATTCGATAATATTCTCTTTATCAATGATACATTTTTATTTCAATCGTTGAAATAAATTATTATTATTATTAGAAGAAGACGAATATTTCGAGAAATATTCATTTTTTTTCTTGAATTCTTTCAAAATATCTAACAATTATTTAATTTTATTTCTGTTAACAATAATAGTTTGATCAATGATTTGGCACAATAAATGGATAGATAGAATGGATGAAATGGGATATTTCTGACCAAATGATGCATACATAACGCTTCAATTATAATAACAACAACAATAATGCAATTATTTCCTACTCATAACTTTATGCCTGTCTGTATCTGTGTGTGTGTGTGTGTGTGTATATGTATGTTTGTGCATGTGTATGTGTATGTGTGTGTATGCATGTGTATGTGTATGTGTGTGTGTATGTGTGTGTGTGTTCAGCTGTCAGGCTATCAATCTATCTGCTTGTTTCGTCCATTTCTGTATTATTAACCTTCAAAATGAGGTTATTGGCCAAATAATTACCATAAATTTAAGGTATCATTCACATTTATTTTATACAATTCGCTTTTTTTTTCCCATCAAATGTAATGTTAAGGAAGTGATAGTATGTTTGATAAAAATCAATGATTCTTCTCTTTTCTTCCTTCTCTTTAGTTATTCGGGATTTTTTCCCGAGTGCTATGCATAAAAGGCATAAAGTTAATTGTAGCTTATATCGTATTTATTATCATTTCTTTTGATTTTTGTGTAAAATTAACCAGTCTTTCTTAAGGGTCAAATTGTTAATTATAGCTAAAATGAGTATATTTTGCTTCTTATTTTGCAACAAATTTAAGGTAAACAAAGTTTTATGGCTTGTGATGTTCATAAATTCAAAAGTTTGATTGTTTTAATCACATTCAAATTGTTATTTAATTAATTCATAAGCATAAGCAGCAAAATTTTCTGCAAATCTCAATGATTAATTAAACGCATTAGCTTAATGCAATATATGTTAGAGCTGTAAATATTATCGTGTAATAATATATTTCCTTTAAATTCGAATATTACTGAATGCATGATCGTATGATATTTATTTGATCATTGCTCTTAACTAATGCATTTTATTATCAAAAATTTTCTTAAAAGAATTCGCCTAAAAATTTTCATTTAACAGTTTTTTTTTTAAAAATCCTTTCATTTTTACTGCAATAATTTTGAAGGAAGAAAATCGGCAATAATGCAAAATTTTTTTCAAAGTAATGTATACTTCCAATTTTATTAAATCTGAAAAAGGAATTAGCTGGCAGTAATGACAACCGGAAAGATAGCATAAAATCAATACGGTAAACCAAATTGGATAAATTAACTTTCACTTGTTAAATTGCTAATGCAACATTTGTCGTGTGAAAAAAAATGAAAAAAGAAGTTGAGAATTAATTAAAATTGTTAGAATATGCTAACTTACTAACCCAACAAATCGAATGGGTTCATTGGTTGTCATGGCATTTCGATTGTAAGGCAGGAACGATTCATTTACATCATATCCTGATATCAGAATCCGAGAGTTTGCAGTAGATTCGCTTGATAACGTTCTGGATAATGACAGATTACAGCTTTATATTTTGCCTCTCATTCAGGTAGGATTGCTTCTTGAAGAATATGAGTGA